CGCCAGGGCTCCTAACAACAATAAGAGACCTCCACAGCTGTGGGCCTATGCCCCCTTCCTATGTCATCTGTCAGTCTCTATCTGCTTCTACCCTCACTTCGGCTCCGACTCCCCTGTTATCAATCAGACTCAGTTCATTGCCGCTTTGTCTATGCACAGCAGAAAGAGATAATGCCCTGCCCTGTGCCTGACTGTCGTTAAGTGCCGTTGAGTCGATTCCAACCCATAGCGACCCTGTATAGGGTTTCCAAGGAGCAACTGGTGAGCTTAAACAAGCCACGCTGTAGTTCAAAGGACTTTGCAGTCTAATTCATAAGCCCACAGCACCACACCAGGACTCTGTCTGTCATGGGGAGATGATAATATTAAAGGCGGAGGATCTCTGACCCTCCTGCTACAATGACCTTGTAAATGCTATCTGGGATCATTGCCCACATCAAGACCCTTCATGCCTTCTGCCTTAGGTTGAATTGTGTCTCTGCAAAATATGTGTCAACTTGGCTGTGTTGGCATTCTCCATGGTTCGGCAGTTATGTGATGATCCCCTATGATGTGATAAGGCAATGAGAGGATTAAGGCCGTAAAGCAATACTCCTAATCCCATCACAACTCCCATGGAAGTAGATGGAACTAAGGGAGTTTCCCACAGGTGTGGCCTGAAACACCTTTTAATTACAAGAGATAAAAGAGAGAGAGGTGAGTGAAGATCACAGGAACCTGGTACTCCCACTGAAACACAAGAGTCAGGAGTGGGGTGCATCCTTGCACGATGAAGCACCTAGATCCAGGGAGAATTGATGCCAAGATGCATGGAGATCTCCAAGGAATGATGAATGTACAGATGCTGAAAGGAGACAAGGGCTTTTCTCCAGCACCAACAGAGAGAGAAAGCCTTTCCCTAGAGCTGGCTTTCTTAATTTGGATTTGAGTCCTGGTGTAATGCTGCAGGACTGCTAACCACAAGGTCAGTGGTTCAAACCCACCAGCTGCTCCTCAGAAACTCCAGAGAGCATCACTATGAATTGGAACCAACTCGATGGCATGTAATAACAACAAAGTGAGAGAATACATTTCTGTTGGTTAAAGACATCCACTTGTTGGATTTCTGTTTTAGCAGCATGACAGACCTGCAACACTGTCTCGATGCTGGTTTCCCTTTACTGTGTGAGGCACTATGTCCACAGATCCAAGTACCACGCACAGTGAGGACATTTTGGGGAGCTGGGTCCCCTGTAGCAGGGAGGAGGAGGACATAGGTTCATTACACACCCAGGGCTCAGTACTACTCCAGGCCTGGTGCCCAGTCTGGGAGGCAGCCAGCAGGCAGGCACTTGGGACATGGGTGCCACTTGGCCAGGGGCCCCGAAGCTGTCAGAGGGTTGGAACAGGTGAGCTGGGTGGTGTGACTGGTAGAGCCCAGGACAGCCTTTCTTCTCCATGAAGCTACTTGGCATCAGTTCAGCCACACAGTGCCCCAGCTCCAACTCCAGGTCACTGCCATCTGGGGTCCCTGAGATGAGGGAGAGAAATGTGCATGGCTTGAAGGCACCCAGTATGTGGTCAGCAGTTATAGCAACACTCAAAACTCTATAATTCTACAACCACCTCCATCCCTGCCCCAGGATCTCCATTTAACAGATGGGGAAACTGAAGCAAAGTGTGACAAAGATGACCAGCCCAGTGCCCTGTCACCAGGGACAGCGTGGTGGCTTCAGCTAGCTCTACACAGCCATCTGGTCCCACTCCATCACAACCTTCGCATAAACAGTGATCCTATGCAATATCCCTTCCCTTCCCAGGTTCAGCTGAAGGAAAAGCAAGGGTGGGGCAGCCCTGCTTCTAGCCACACCCACTTCAGCTTCCTACTCCCAGCCTGAGCCTGAGGGAGGCTAGAGGCCCTGGCTTTAGCCAGTCCCAGGAATGGAGTTGCAGGAATGTGTGTGTGGCATGAGTCAGCGGTGAGGGAGGGACGCTTTCGGCCACTTGCATCAGCTCCTCCTGCTGTTCGGCCCTTGGCCAAGACAAACAAGAACCTGCTCAGGCCCTAGCTCATCTCCCCTCAGGGGCCTAGGTGGGGTCTGCTCTGGGGCAATGCCAGGCCCAGGATTCTGAACCACGACCACCTCCTTCAACATCCATGGTCACCCAGCATCCAATCACCAAGCCTGCCATTTCCTGCTCGAAGGTGGGCTGCTCTTGGGATCCTGTTCCCCTTCCCTCTCCAGCTGGGGGCCAGTCAGCTACAGAGCCACAGCTGTCCCCAATGGCACAGGCCTGGGATAAGAAAAGTCAGATGGTCCCACAGAGGGTCCAGCTCTGACACCTCACACACACACACCTGCATCCTCTCAGATTGGCCTCACACACCTTTCGTAAGTGTGAAGATCCGAACTCACAATCGTAGCATTTTCTTAGATTGTGAGGAAAGGTGTTTATGGATCAACAGACAAACTCTAGGACGCCCAGTTAAATTTGAATGTCAGATACACCAAAAATTGTTTGGGAATGCTAAAATGACTTGATCCCATGGGATTCAAGTCTAACTGCCATTCAAGTTTGGCTTTCCTGATTGCCCCAGCCTCTCACAGCCACTGAGCACCCTGGCCCTGGTCCCAGTGCCAGTACGGACTTGGCCACTTTGAGACCACTAAGCTCAGACCAGGGTCTTCGGAGGAGCCAGGGCAGGGGACTGAAGGCCGTGTGAAGAGGCGTGGAGAAAGGAACACCCTACCTCTAGATCTAGCCCCGCCAATTCCAGGATAGGGTCCCTAGGGGCTGCGCTGAGATGCTGGATCAGGGGTGTATTCTGTGCCCTGTGTGGAGGGGTGCTCTATTATTGGGAGCCTCAGGTGCTGATTTGCGGGCAACAAGGCTAGGTGCCCAGAGGGTTGAACACTGGTGGGGGCAGGGGGCAGGGCGTGTCTAGACTTCCGAGGTCTTTATTGTCTGTTTGTCCTTGCCCAGGCTAATGCCTTCCAGAACCACCTTCCTCCTGGGTACCCAGCCCCCACCCCCACCCCCACCCCCGGAGCAATCCCGAGTTCCTCTTCTCAGGTTGGCAGTCTCCCCTGAGGCCCTTGGGTAGAAGGGGGGTATCCCTAGGACCAGTCTGTTCTGCTCAGCTGCAGCGTCCTCCTGGTGGACCTGAGCCAGCCCATCTAGCCATCTAGCCCACCAGCTGTGTCCACCCTTTGTCTGGGCTGACCCTGCAGGGAACGCCTTCCGGAAGGAAGGAGGATGTAGATCCAAGTGAATGTGGCCGGCCTGAGGCCTGGGCGAAAGCCTCCTGACCCTGGGAGCTGGGAAGGCAGGCTAGGCCTCCTCCAGGTCCCAGGCCCCTTCGTTTCCGACTGCCCAGGGATCACCCAACACCTTGGCCACTTGGTCCTGTAAACAGGGGCCACCTGACATAAGGAAAGTCCCAGGCATCCTGTTCTGGGTCCGGCAGCCAGTTAGCAGCAGGGCAGAGTTGAGGTCAGGAAAGTGTGGACACTCAGGATTCACGTTACTGTGTAGGAAAACTTTTCAGCGAGGGATAAGTACGCGAGTGTACAGGTTATGAGCGGGCCCCGCCCATGGAGAAGCACCAGGTACCTCCGTGGACACCCTGAGGCCTGGCCTTCTGCAACCGACCCTAGGTAGAGATGGAAGGGTAAAAAGAGTGGAGGTTTGGTGAAGAGGATGCACAACCCATCTGGCTTTCCTCCCGAGGGACTATTTGGTTGTGTTTGGAGACATTTGTGGGTGTCACGACTTGGGGGGTTGGAACTGGCAACTAGTGGATGAAGTCAGGCATCTTGCTGGACACCTTGTAGTTCACGGGAACTCCTGTCCCACCCCCACCCCCACCCTCACCCTGAGAAGGATCCAGTTCCGTATTAGGTGCCGAGAAGATGTGACTACACACACATACACACAAGTAGGCACTGTGCCTCATCCCGTTCAAACAGTATTTAGGAAGTCCTCTAGGCCCAACTGGGAAAGTTCAATGCTCAGTGCTGGGACCCGAAGTCTCGTGGAGCTGCATTCTGGGGCGGCTAGATGTGACCCTGCACTGCACACCTGCAGGTAACTCGTCCATGTGGAGAGACCACCGGTCTCCTGGGCAGGGTGGGGACGACAAGGAGGCTGATGGAGGCTTCTCTGGGCAGGGAGGTGGAACATCCCCTTCCTGGCACGTGGGGCAACGTGCAAGTCTGCACACCCCTCCTGTGTTCTGGGCTTTGGCCCTGGGAGCAATGCAGAGGCAGCTGCTAGTCAACCTAGGAGTCGTTCTGGAATTAGTAGTGACTGTTGCACAACCTTGTGATGATACCAAATACCACTTAACACTTTAGAATGTTAAGTTTATGTTTTGACATTTTTTTCACTTCAATAAACAAATTTAAAAATAAATAAATAAAGTGGGAGCCATGGCAAGTTCTAGAGAAGGAGCATCACCAGACTAGAGAGTCGCTCTAGTCTGGGTCCTGGCAGATAAGTTGAGGTGGCAGCTCCAAGTGGACGGTCTCGCGAATTCCCGAGTCTCAGGCAGCCCCAGAAACACCTCCAGCCACTTCTTGCCAGACTTCTGCGTCCTGAACACTTCCCTGCTCTCCAGGGTTGTCCTGCATTGGAGCGAGACTGTGACCGCAGACACGCCCCCACGTCCTGAACGCGCAGCCGCACTCAGCACACCGAAACGCACCTCCCACCCGCGTGCCCATACCAAGTTTACAGTGTGCCTTGACTCTCACGCCCCGCCCCCAACTCCACATCTTGCAGCCGTACCCAGAACCCTAAAGCGTTCCTCCAGTTGCCGAGCCCATACTGCGCAGCCGCATTGAACGTCCGGAAGTGTTTGCCCAGCACCCGAGCCCGCACCGCGCAGACTCACTGCGTGCCCTGGAGGCCGCCCTCCAGCCCCGCCCCCGAGCGCGCGGGGGCGTGGTCGTCGGCGGGGCGAGCCGTCGGCGGGGCGGGGCCTAGCCCATAAAGGCGGCGGCGACGGCTGCGCGCCCGCTCCTCTCATCGGTGGCGGCCCAGTAGAGGAGTCCGCGGTGGCGGCGGTGGCGGCGCTGTTCCCCGCGCGGTCCGCGGAGCCGACTCCGGGCTACGTTACGTCGGCCGGCAGCGGCGGCACTGCGGCTCCGGCGCGACCCCAACTCCGGTGAGTGCGGCCGGCCTTCTCTCCCCTGCGCGGGGAACTCCGGGCCTCCCTCGGGAGCCCGGGGCCGACCGCTCACGGCGCCTTTGTCCGCCGCTCGCCCACAGGCTCCCTTCCCCGCCGCCCCCCGGCCTCCCGGCCGCCCGCGGGCCCTGTGCCCCCTCCCCCGCTGGCGGGACCCGGACGGAAGATGGTGCAGAAGAAAACCGCCGAGCTAGAGGGTTTCCACCGCTCGTTCAAGGTGAGAACTGCGCCGTCCGGGCCTGAAGCAGCCTCCGCGCCTGAGTGGGCCCCTCCAAGGACGTACCCTGCCCCCTGAAGCCCCCGACTGTTGTCCCCTGCAAGCTCCAGCCGGGCACTCCCCATCCCCCCTCCCTCTCCGAGGGAGCCCCTACAGGGACGCGCCCCCTGCCCCCTGGGTTTCCGGCTATTGCCCCTGCGAGACCCAGCCGTGCATTTCCCTTCCCCATGGTCTTAGAAGGAGATACTTTCTCCTGAACTCTGGGGTTGCAAGCCCCGTGTCCCTGCCTTATGGCCTGTGGGATTCTTCCTTCGGGGACCCTAGACTGTGGGTCCCCTGGCTGGTGCTCCCTGCAAAACCCTATCGAACTTCACCTCTACATCCCCAGGCTGGGTTTCTGGGACCCCTAGCTTGTGTATCCTGCAAACAAACTACAGTCGGGCAAGCCCTTTCCCCAGGTCCCCATTGGTGAGATCCGAAGTTGGACCCCTGGCATCCCCGGCTGGTGCTCACTGCAAACACCAGACGGGTATGCACTGTGGTGGGCTCAGTCTGTGGCCTGTGGAGATCTGGGAACCCCCTGTGGCCTGTGAAATGAGGCAGTGGAGCGGACGCTGTGCGCCCAAATGCTATTTCCTGTTGGAGCGGGAAGTTCCCGAGGCGACCGTGTGTGCTGCGAGGCAGGGTGGCAGATGATCGGGTCTGGGGGGAGGGCAGATGCCGGGCAGGGGCCCCTCGGGGCTGGCCCAGGGGACGCATGATGTCAGCGTCTCTGCCCCACGGCGTGCCTGGTTATGTAATGGCTTAGTCGGGCAGGGACCTGCTGCCCGGTGGAGAGGGCAGGGGCCTGGGGTGTGTTTGTGTCTGAGTTGTGTGTGTTTATACCCACTCCTCCCACTGATGGGGCGGAGCCAGTGCATTCCCAAGCTAGTCCGAGTTCTGCAGTCCCACCCCTGCCCTGATGTCTCTCACCCTGAGTCCCTGATACCTGAACCTCCTCCACCCTTGGTGGTCTGTCTGTTCTCTCCTGAGGCTGGGCGGGAGCAGGGGCAGCACCACCGCTAAAGCAAACTGCACTTCTGGATGGTTCTAGCTGCCTCCTGCCAAGGCCTGCTGACTGGGTGACAGCCAGCCCCGGGGTGGGGCCGCCCACACCGCCAAGCCAGATGGCCTCTTTTGCAGGGAGGCCGGGGCCCTGCTCTGGGAGTCCGCTCCAGGACCCCCGCCCCATGTAGTCTTGTGCTACCGGAATGTTCACATGCTGGATGTGTCTTACATGTCTTGTTGCAAAAAGGTGAAGGCCCAGGGTCCCAGTTCATGGTGACACAGAATCAGGTCCTGCCAGGCACCAACACATGTAGGCTTGAAGCAGGCAGTGGGATGGAGACTGGGCTGTGGGACTGTGGGGCAGGCCAGTTCTCACTGGTCCTGTGGACTCCCTCTGAAAGCTGGCTAGAGTCCTTCCCTCCCTCTCCTGGAGCTATCTGTATGTGATAGGCAGGTGAGAAGCCATGCTGGCTTTGAAGGCCCTTCCCAGCCCTCTGCCCAGCTGTGGAGGCCTGTGGTCTGCAGGGCCTCTGTTGTGGGGGGCCCTTCACCTGGGACAGGTGTACAGGGCCCCTCACTACTGGTAGGACCCCAACACTCATCATCTGGAGGTTTAGAGAGGGGTAGCTGTTCAGCCGGGTTCCTCAGCAGTACCCCCTCTCGCTCCCACCCACTTTTATCCCCGCTCCTGCCCTCCCAGACGGGGATCACCAACACCTGACTCATAAAGAAACTGGCTGGGCTTCCAGTTCCTCACTTTAAAGGCCGAGCACCCTCATGCTACAAGTGGCCTTGTGGAAGCAGACCTTCATTTTGACTGCCCAAGTGCCTGCCCCCCAAGCACATGCTAGAGAGTGCTGTGGGGTATGGGGTCTGGAGACAGGTTGAGGCTGGGTCCTCCTGGGAGATGTGAACATGAAGCTGCAGGCAGGTCTCCCCCACAGATGTGTGCTGGGACAGGCTTAGGCCCCAAAGAGTGCTGTGAGGCTCTGCTTCCTGTGTGCTTCCCCCAACTGGGGAAGAGCTCAGGAAACTTGAGGCCCAGGGGCCTGCTCTCAGTCACGAAGGTAGGGGCCTCAGTGCCCTACCATGGGAAACTGGTACAGCCAGCTCAGAGCTTGCCCTTAGCTACCTGTGAGTCACCTGCCACACCGCCGCCTTTGATGGTGAGGTCAGCTGAGCGAGATGGTCTGGCTGCTGAGGCCCCATGTGATTCAACCCCTGAACTGTGTCCTGCCCCCTCCACTACCCCGTGCAGCAGCTCCTCTGCGCCTCATTGCTGTCTTGTTACTGATCTGTATCCCCATCATTCGGGGGAACCAGGGTGTGAGAACTGTGCCCCACAGGGTGTTCCTTACATGTGCAGAAGTAGGTCACCAGGACTGTCCCAGGTTCCTCTGCTTACCTTTTGGTTAACAGCAGCGTATATGGTCCCCAGTGACTCCATGGTGACATGACCCTATAGATAACTAGGTGGGGGTGGCATCCTTGGCCTCCACCCACTCCATGCCAGTAGCACCTCCCCCAGTCTGACACCCACAGATGACTCCAGTCACCTAGTCAGGAACTGCTGGTGATAACCAGCTGCAGACCACCTTTGCAAGCTTAGAGACCCTGGGGTCTGGCAGGGGGCTGGTGTCTCCTCAGCTGCCGGAGGTCCTGCTGTGGCATCGAGAGGGGGCATGTTGCTGGCAGGACCAGGGTTTGAGGGCTGTGCTCCCCTCCCTACAGGGGCAGAATCCTTTTGAGCTGGCCTTCTCCCTAGACCAGACCCACCACGGGGACGGTGACACCGACTTCAGCCTGGAGTGCCAAGCCCGCCCTGGTGAGGGGAGGTCAGGGGTAGGGGTGGGCAGAGGTGGAGGGCCGGCCAGGGCCATGTCCTGAGCACAGGCTCCTTCCAGACATGCCGGCCAGTCAGCCCATCGACATCCCGGATGCCAAGAAGCGGGGCAAGAAGAAGAAACGGTGCCGGGCTACCGACAGCTTCTCGGGCCGGTTTGAAGGTGAGTGGTGTGGGTGCCGACTGTCCCGCAGCAAGGGAGGGCCAAGCCACCGAGGGTGGTCCTCATGCCCTCCCCCTCCCCCTCCTGCTCAGATGTGTACCAGCTGCAGGAGGACGTGTTGGGTGAGGGTGCCCATGCCCGCGTGCAGACCTGCATCAACCTCATCACCAACCACGAGTACGCAGTCAAGGTAGGGACCACCAGGGCAGCCCAGGGCTGCAGGCAGAGCTGCCACGGGGTCACCTCTGGCCGGTGGCGTAGTGCTGACAACGGTGTTATCATCTATGGGCTATAAGTATTAGGGGAGGCGTTGGCATGCCTACCCAGGAGTGCAGGGACTCAAGGGTTTGACCCAGCAGTCCAGGGCCCCATGTAGGTACTGACCACAGCCTTGTGACCTTGGCAGGGCACTGGGACTGCTTTGAGAGCTGTCTGTCTGAGTGGCTCACAAGGGCTGGCCTGAGGCCTTGGTGAAATCCAGGCCAAGCCACGCCCCTGCTGAGCCTCCGCCCTCAGACTCTCCCTGGGTGTGGGTGTGAGAGGGGCGTCCTGGCCAGGATCCCACCCTGGAATTCTCTCTTTGCTGTTTGAGTGCCACGCACCCGGCAGCCTCCTGGGCTGTTTGTCTGGGAAGTCAGGGCACTTAGATTCTGTAGGGTTCAGTGCCCGAGTTTCTGTGGCTGTGTCTGGAACCGGCGGCTGGGATTGGGGCCACCTGAAGGCTCCCCACAGGAGGAGACATCTGGGCTGACCACCGTATTCCCTGGAGCTGATCCACTGGGGGGGCCTGAAATACACATGTGGGGACCAGGCAGGATGGTACATTTGTGCTGTGGGGCGGGCTGTGAGGGCCTGGTGGTCTGGCCCAAGTGGGGGCCATGCAGAGGAAGGAACCTGCAGACCATCTGTGAGGGACTTAGATTAAGGACCAGAGGAAGTCCCCCCCAAATTAATTTGAATATGAATGACGGGTGCTTTGATTTAGGAAGGAGGGAGTTGCATGGGGAGCTGTGATGGGTGGGACCACCCCCAGGAGGGAAGTCCATCTCTCTGGGAAGCCCAGGTAGGGGGAGCTAATGGACTCCAATGAAGGGTCAGGATGAAGTTTTAGAGTTCCCAAAGCCTCCAGGTCCCTGGTGTGGGGTGGTCTGGTGGACCCCTGCCTGGCTGCCACGTTCCTGCATCCCCTTCCCTGAAGGACTCTCCCCACCCAGGAGGAGCATCCCAGAAAAAGTCTGGGCCCCCAAACACCTGCCAGACCCCTCCTCCTGGGATGAAGGGTGACCGGAGTCTGTAGGGTACCAGAGGGGGTTGTCTGGTAGCTCCCCAAGCTCAGAGTATTGGGCATCTGCCTTGAGTGGTTGAGGTTGAAACTGCCTGGGCTGCTGGTTAGCAGGGTGGGAGGGCACACCCTTCTCATTCAGGGACCCTGTGCTGTAGAGAAGACATTCTGCTGAGACCCCAGATGGATCTCCACAGCCTGCGGGGGTCCTGGCTTCCGGCCAATTCAGGGTCCCCACAGGCCACCTCTGCTTTTTGAGGCATTTCAGGCCGGGCCAGTGTTGGGGGTAGGGTGGGAGCCATGTCTGCCCAAGTCACCTGCCCTCCCTCTGGCTGACCCGACGCTACTTCTGGTTTTAGATCATCGAGAAACAGCCAGGGCACATCCGGGGCAGGGTATTCCGGGAGGTGGAGACGCTGTACCAGTGCCAGGGACACAGGTAAGACTCCTGTGAGGCCCACACCACCCACAGTGCTGCCTGTGACCCATCCAGTGCCTGCTGTGGCCCAAGGGCCCCCAGTGGTGCCGCACCTAGAGCACTGCTGGCTGCTAACCAAAACGTGGTCAGTTTAAGGCCACCAGCCTCCTTGCACGAGGAAAATGTGGGGGCAGACCACCTCTAAAGACTTAGTCTCCGAAACCCGATGGGGGGGTCACTATGAGTCAGAATCGGTGCCTACTATGTACCAGGAGTCCTGGTGTGGAGCTGTAAGCGAGATCAGTGGTTCAAGCCCACCAGCCACTCCTCAGAAACTACAGGGTCACAGAACCGACTAGAGGGCAGCGCACGTAACAACGCCTTTCCCCTCTGGAGGGCTTGACACCATGGCTCTGTGTGTGTGTGTGTGAGAGAGAGAGGGAGGGGGACAGAGATTTCCTGGAGAAGCCCCCACCTCCCTCCTGCCTCCTTCCCACCCCCAGGAACGTTCTGGAACTGATTGAGTTCTTTGAAGAAGAGGACCGCTTCTATCTGGTGTTTGAGAAGATGCGAGGAGGTGTGCCCCTGGCCATGGGGGGCGGGGAGGCGTGGCCTGGGTGCTGGGGAGGTAGACCTCATTCCTGTGTGTCTCCCCCCACTCTCCCAGGCTCCATCCTGAGCCATATCCACCAGCGCAGGCACTTCAATGAGCTGGAGGCCAGCGTGGTGGTGCAGGACGTGGCCAGCGCTCTGGACTTCCTGCACAACAAAGGTGGGTGCCCTCCACTCTCCGCCCGCCCCTCGGCCGCAGCCCCGCCCCACCCGTCCACTGGCCCGCCCACCTCTAACCCTGCTCACCCCGCAGGCATTGCACACCGGGATCTCAAGCCGGAGAACATCTTGTGTGAGCACCCCAACCAGGTGAGGGGCCCCACCCACCATCGGTCATCGGGACCTCTGGCCTAGAGCCCAGGCCAAGACCAGCTCTCGCCACCGCTCACCTCCCCTAACCCACCCTATTGTTCTGCCCCCAGGTCTCCCCTGTGAAGATATGTGACTTTGACCTGGGCAGCGGCATCAAGCTCAACGGGGACTGCTCCCCCATTTCCACACCGGAGCTGCTCACCCCGGTGAGCTCCATGCGCCAGTATTCAGGGCGGGAGAGCTGGGCGCTGCGTGCGGCCCGCGGATCTCGGACTTCTGCCCGGCAACAGCCCCCCGGTTGGCCAGGCTCGGTGGGCGGGGTCCCGATGACAAACTCTGATTGGCCAGGTTTGGGGGGCGAGCCCGAGGTCAGGTGGGGCGGGGTTGACTCACAAAGGCCGTGGCTGACTGGTGGGGCAGGATAGTCAGCCGCAGGGAAGAGGGCGGGGCCAGGGTTGCTCTGGGCGAGGTGGGGCGGGACCGGATCTAAGGGTAGTTGTTGATTGGTGGGGCCGCACTGGTGTGGGGCTGGCTCACAGTCAGTGCAGATTTGGCCGGTGGGCAGGGCCGAGGGCGGGCTGGCTCCCAGCAGCTGTTCTGATTGGCACAGGCGGCTGTCAGGTGTGCGGGGGCGTACCCAATTGCCCCAGGGCTATGCTGTGGCACTTGGGGAAGGGGAAGGAACTGCCTGGTTCTGATGACCCCCACCACCCCACCTGCAGTGTGGTTCTGCGGAATACATGGCCCCCGAAGTGGTGGAGGCCTTCAGCGAGGAGGCCAGCATCTACGATAAGCGCTGTGACCTGTGGAGTCTCGGTGTCATCCTCTACATCCTGTTGAGCGGCTACCCGCCTTTCGTGGGCCACTGTGGCAGCGATTGTGGCTGGGATCGTGGCGAGTCCTGCCCCGCCTGCCAGGTATGCAGGGGATGTGGGGGTGCCACGGGGGGTATGTGGGTCCTTCTCTGCTTGCTAATGGAGATGGTTAAGTGTGGGGTGCTGTAGGCACGTGGGAACTGAGGAATGGGAATAGCTGTGATCTGTTCACCAGAGACAACTGCCCGCTCTCCCAGGCAGGACCCTACCCCCACACTCACCTGCCTTACTTTCCCCATCAGATTTCCTGGTCTGGGCCCCCTCACCCTTCTCCTCCCAGATCTCCCCACCCCCACCTTCCCGATGAGGGGCATAGCAACAGGTCACAGGACAAGACCCTCAGGGTGGCTCAGACAGCTGGGTGGGTGCTGCCTCCCCTTTCTGCTCACCCTGCCCTACTACCCCCAGAACATGCTGTTCGAGAGCATCCAGGAAGGCAAGTACGAGTTCCCAGACAAGGACTGGGCTCACATCTCCTTTGCTGCCAAAGACCTCATCTCCAAGCTCCTCGTCCGGGACGCCAAACAGAGGCTGAGCGCTGCCCAGGTCCTGCAGCACCCCTGGGTCCAAGGGGTGAGTTGGGGGCTAGGGTAGGATGTGGAGGCTGAGGGGATGCTGGCTCGCTTGAGCTACCGGGTTCTACAGCACCCAAGGGTGCGACCCAGACTGGGGGCCTCTTGGGGACGAGCGGACAGTGCAGGTTCTCGGCAGAAACCTTCGTTCGTGAGGGTTAGCAGACAGAACTAGAGAAGACAGGGTCCCCAGACCATCGGAGGATCTAGGCTCTGCTGTCAAGGGGAGGGGCTGATGGCAGCCCAAGTGAACTGTTAGGACCGGGGCTTCTGAGCCCTTTCTCGTGGGTCATGAAGAGGAGAGGGCCACTGGATGTCATCCAGCCCAGCCATTCCGTGTGGAGGAGCTGGGATTTACCCCAAGCACTGAGTGACTGTCCCCAGCCCAGGTTCCTATAATCAATCAGCTCATGAGGATCTGAACAGAGGCAGTCTGCAGTGTGATGGGTGTCTTACAGGAGTCGGTTTTGGGGTTGGGGCTTAGGGAGAGGACTTGGCGTTGTCGCTACACATTGATTGGGACGTGCAGGGATAGTGCATGTGCGACTTGGTGTTTTGGGGACTCATTGGACTGGAGGCAGGGTGATGAGGGGACATCAGATGTCAGCCATGCCCCTGTCATTGCAGTGCGCCTCGGAGAATACGCTGCCCACGCCCATAGTTCTGCAGAGGTGAGCAACCTTGGGGTAGAGGTGGGCTTGATTTGGGTGCACGTTGTTGTTGAGTGCCGTCGAGTGGGTTCTGCCCCATAGCCACCCTGTTACAGGGTTTCCGAGGAGCACCTGGTAGCTTGAACCGCTGATTTTGCGGTATAAACCGACTTGGCAGTCCAGCGCATTAACCCACAGCACTCCAGCGGGAGTCCGGGTGCAACCGGTTGCGCAGCCGCAGCACCCAGACCTTGCCCCATCAATGTCCGCCCTCTCTCCTACCCCCCAGGAACAGCTGTGCCAAAGACCTGACGTCCTTCGCAGCGGAGGCCATCGCCGTGAACCGGCAGCTGGCCCAGCGCGAGGAGGACGCGGATGACGAGGCGGGGCCCGGCCGGCCTGTCCTCATCCGAGCTACCTCACGGTGCCTGCAGCTGTCGCCGCCCGCCCAGTCACAGCTGGCCCAGCGGCGCCAGAGGGCCAGCCTGTCCCAGGGAACTACACCGGTAGTCCTTGTGGGCGAGCATGTCTGAGCGCCAGGCCTGGCCCCGCCCCTGTACATAGCCCCGCCCCACCCAGATTGACAGATTCTTTTCTTTTTTTAAAAAGCTATCGTCACCGCTGGTGGTCCTGGGCTGGACTCCAAGGCCCTGAGCTCTGCGGGGGGCGTGTTTTCTACATAAGGTTTTGCTGTTGGGGTTTTTTGGGGTTTTTTTTTTTTTTTTCCGTTTTTTTTCCCCACCTGCTTTTTTTTCCTTGTCTATTTTTGATGGTGTTAAAAGCTAAAGCAAACGGCCGGGCCCTCCTTCCCCCCGCCCCATCCTCTCTCCTGTACTGTGAACATCATCTGCCCCTGCCGCCTCTCCTCCCGCTCCCACCCCAACACGTCTTCCAGAGCTAGGACAGCCCAAGGGCCGACCCCCTCCCTGTTCCTGGGGTTCCCTCCCTCTCCTATGCCCGATTCGTCCCCTCGACCATCCCAGACGCCCATGTTGGCTTTGTCAGGAGCGTGGGGCTCCTTGTTAAGGGCACGGGCAGGCGGAGGGCCTGGGTGCATACTGGGGCATCGGGCACCCCCCTACAGCCAGCTGTCAGTGACCATTGGGTATCTCTGTGCCCATCTGCCCTCAAGTCCCCATGAAAATAGACAATCCGGAGCTTCCTCCGAGGGCCGTAATGACCAGGCCCCACCTGTGCCCTCGATTTTAAACTGCTGCTGGTTTTCACCTGCTGACCCACAGCCCACTGCCTGCCAGGGAGCGAGCTGAGCAGGTTCCGGGCGGCCTTGCTGGGGGCCTGCAGGCCCCGGGCGCCCCAGTGCTCTTCTCAGGGCTTTATCTGACCATGGCCGGAGCTCGGGCCAGACCTTGGGGTCCACTTCCTCCCTGGCGGCCTGCCTTGAAGACAGCAGCTGCCGCTATCCAGGCCTCAGCCACTTGTGGGCACCCAGGATCCACCAGGCAGTGTCCCTTCCCTGCCGGCCACCCTTCCCCTCCCAGGCGGTGAAATACTATGCAATACGAGCTTCCTTTCTATGTGCACACGGGGTCCGCCGGTCAGGGAGAGGGCGGTGGCTGGGGTGCGCTCCAGGCCAAGTGTCCACCCCACCCTCACCAGGACGGCCCACCGTCCAAGGTCTGCTCAGGGCGGGGACAGTCCCCCGGGATCACTCCTCGTGTTTAGTTAGGTTTTTTTTAAACATCAGTGGACTCTCCTTCCCTGTTTTCGAAGAATACTTGAATGTGGGAGCTGCAGATGAGGGTTGTGGGGCCTGGGACCCTGTATTCCCAAGCCCCTCCCCGTCCTCCTCCCAAGTCGTCGTACGATCATTGCCGTCTGTGGTGGCTGCTAGGGGGGCTGACATCCCCCTCCCTGGCTCTTCACCCACCTAAATCTGTGGACTGGTTTTTCCAAAGACAACCGTGTCGTGCTTCCCAGATAGGGTGGGGTACAGGCCTGTCCTCCCGTTCCCCCCGCCCACACACACCATTTCTCAACCATCAGTGATAACACGTTTTTTGCAACTGGGGATTCTCTGCCTTTTTGTAACCAGGACAAAACACGGACATCTTTGCCCATTGTGGGTGCCCATGGCCATTGTACTTTGGAACGCTGAGCTCCAAGCAGCTCCTTTTTTGTGAAGGTGGGACAGTGCCTCCTGCTCCCTCTTCCTGGCATGCACACTGCGCCCCCAGAATTCTGACTGTGAAAGAGAAGAGTGGGTGGGGCCCAGGCCAGCTCCCGAAGGGGGTGGGGGTGGGCAGTGTTCCAACGTCAAGATGTTTAGGGACAAAATCATTTTCAAAATGTTTTTTAGAGGGGGGGGAAACATCCAAGCACTTTAACTCCATTGTACCAGGTGAACTGATAGAGCTCAAAAGTTTTCCTTTACACCAACTGTCAAGGCCAGAATTTTGTATTCTGTTTTGTAAGGATTTAATAAAAGTCATAAAAAGTTGGCCACTTGTATCTGCCGCCTGTTCTGATTTTGCATTGCTACATCAGGAGAGGCGCTGAAAGCGCTTACCAGCGGCGTCGGGAATTTGGACAGGAACATCGAGGTGGGTTTGTCTGCTTCATCCAGTGTTAGCTGTGAAGGCCGGCTGGGATTATCATGGAATGGGTCTTCCTAAAATGGGACTCGTTGTCTGAGCTCTGTGACTTTGGGCTTCTTCCCAGAATAGCAGCCATCTGTAGAACGAAAAGTCAGAAGAAGAAGGAAGCTGCAGCAATGCATCCAATAAGGTCTATGGCTCCAGAGAGGCGGGACAATACTCGAGGAAAGACCAATAGGACCATCCCGGGGGGAGGAAGGCGGGGCTAGGCGTAAGGGGAGACCAATAGGACCATCTCAGTGGTGAGGGAGGCGGGAATAGACTCAAGGAGAGACCAATAATAGGACCATCTCAGTGGGGGCGGGGGGAGACGGGACTAGACGCAAAGGCAGACCAATAGGACCTTCTCAGTGCGGGAGAGCCAAGGTTTTAACTCCAGAAGAGGGTGGGGAGGGTGAGAATGGAGGGTATTGCTGCACCTCACTTGACACCATGGAACAAAACCCAGGTGTTTCTCAAACCTTCACCGCTTGGCGGACCCCACAAGCTCCACCTCATTCTGTGGGTGCCGGCATGAACCGTATGCAGATACCTGATCTGGACTTCCGGGCTGAAAATGATCAAGACGGCTCAGGGCTGACTTAGATACTGCTGCGTGGCGCGGAGAAGCACTTTCTGGCAGGAGGCTGTCGGACTGAGGGCCAGACAAAACCAAGCAGAGGCAGGTGACTCCCCACCTGGGCACAGAAGGGGGATCCCAATACGTACAGATTCCTCAAGAGCACCTGGGCGTAAAAGGCGAGAGAAGGGAAAGGAAAGAAGATGACAAGGAAAGGAGTGCGAGGGAAATGCCCAACCACATGCGGGGCTGCACCCCAAGGAAAATGGGAAGTCAGACTGCAAAGCCGTTTGAACTGCAAGGTCGGTGGTTCAAGCTCATCAGCTGCTCCTCGGAAACCCTATACAGGGTCTCTATGGGTCAGAACCGACTCGACGGCACTGCACAACATTAGAGTTGTAAACAGTAGCTTTACTAAGATACAATTCACACACAAAACAAACTCAAGGCTTTTTCTCCTTGGTCCCCATGCTGGACTCCTTCAGTCCTTAAACCAGATTGTGGGGGGCGGGGGTGGGGGTGGTTTATAGGTCAGTGTGGGCTAGACTTTTTTTTTTTCCCTCAAGAACTACTTGTACTTGCTAAGGTTTTGTTTTGTTTTGTTTTGGTGGGGGGAGGATATATATATATTTGTTGTATATTTTTTGTTCATAGCCTAAACATGTACTTAATATCCGGAGTAAAATGTTACAAACGGGCTTTATTTATTTATTGAATGTTTTATTGTGAATTATGTGATAGTTTACATGGAGAACATTAGTTTTACATTCATCCTATTGTACCTATTGTATATGTACATTGCCATCATCATTGCCATGGTTACAATCCCCTCCATGCATCATCAATCAACCAAAGGGTATACCCTACAAACCTGCCTCCTCTCACCCCCATCATCAGCATACAGCCCCTCTCCCTCTCTGGGTCTAAAGTCCCCAGCTGCTCCATCTATCCACGTCATGGTCTCTGCCTCCATCTCAGGCATCACTGCTTCTCTGGGTAGGGTTGCAAATGGGCTTTAATTTCACTGTTAAAACCTTAGAACTTTCGCCTCGCTTCATTCGGCTCACAGAACAGCGTCATCATTTAATGTAATTGGCAAAGCTTGTTAGGTGCCATCGAGAAGGTGACTCACAGCGACCCTGTACACAACAGAAGGAAGGAATGCCCGATCCAGCACTAAACTCACAATCCTTCCTACATTTGAGCACATCCCTGCTAGCCCGGTGCCAATCTGAGGGAGGAGGCCCCACCCACCCACCCCATAAGACCTTGAGGCCTAGGTTACACACAGAGGAAAGTAACAGCTTCATCCGCTTTTGTAAAACGCTGCTGATCTAGGAACTGCCAAAGAGAAAGTAACATGGCGTTCTCACCATTCAGCCTTATGTAATCCTATATAAAACTAGTATGAACTGTATTGGCGAGGAGCTCGTCTTTGGGACATTTGTCTACCAATGCTCCGCCCGTTGGCAATAAAGCCTCTTTCTTCCTCTAACAACAGCACTGGCGTTTTCCAATGGTTTCTTTCTCCTGTTTTGGCCTCGTCTTCCTGCAACATTTCCATCTCATTGAGGGTCTTCCTCTTTTTCCAAACATGGTATCTTTCTCCAAGGACTGGTCCCTTCTGACAATATGTCCAAAGTATAAGAGATGAAGTCTGACCTACATAGTTTCTAAGGAACACTCTGGCTATACCTCTTCCAACACAGATTGGTTTGTTCTTTTGGCAGTCCATGGTACTTTCAATATTCTCCTCCAACACCATAACTCAAATGCCTCAATTCTTCTACGGTCTTCCTTATTCACTGTCCAGCTTTCACATGCATATAAAGTTACTGAAAATACCATGGCTTGGGTCAGGCGCACCTTAGTCCTCAAGCTGACATATTTGCTCTTCAACACTTTAAAAAGGTCTTGTGCAGCAGGATGCAACACGTCACGTCATTTGATACCTTGATTATTGCTTCCATGAGTGTTGATGGTTGATCTGAGAAAAATAAAGTCTTTGACACCTTCAGTCTTTTTCCCATTTATGTGGATGTTCTTTAATGGTCCAGTGGTTAAGAGTTATGTTTTCTTTATGTTGAGAAGAAAACCATACCAAAGGCTGTGGTCTTTGATCTTTGTCAGTAACCTCTTGACTTTCAGCAAGCAAGGTTGTATCATCTGCATATTGCAGGTTGTTAATGAGTCTTCCTCTAATCCTGATGCCACATTTTTCTTCATATAATCCAGCTTCTTGGATTGTTTGCTCAGCATACAGGTTGAATAAGTATGGTGAAAGAATACAACCCTGACACACACCTTTCTTAATTTTAAATCATTCGGTGTTTCCTTGTTCTATTCAAACAACTGCCTC